ATAAAGGAAATCTCTAATAAATCACCTGTGTTGACCAGGGACATCACTCTTGCCAGGAGATGCAACTGACTGCTCCCAATTAAAGCCTAATGACTAAGACCTACAGAGGAGCTACAAACTCCCAGTGACATGTGGCTGGTTTCATTTTAAAGAAGCATTTGTTTGGTTATTTGTAATACTTAGTCCTTAAAGTTAAATCACTGAAAAATTTCAGTCTTTTTTTCATTAGGCTGATGTAGCCTGTGGGGGAAGGAGTTTATAAAACCATGACAAGAAATTACACTAAAAAAAAAAAAAGCTAGAAAAGAAGCAAGATGCCAAGAGGAGATGAGAGAAATATTATAGAAGAAATCAAGGAAAAATGAAAATTAAGTAATCAAACAATACAGTGCATAATGGAGAGATGGATTTCCTCAACATACGGAAACAGAAAAATTAGATTTAGAAACAATCTATAAAGATGTGGAATCACTAGAGGTAACATGGAGACAAGTACAAAAAAGGAAAGAAATGAGCGGTGAAGCAAAAGTGACTATAAATACAGTGGGATTAAAAAGGATGAGAAAACAGGCAAAGCAGTATTAAAACTTATGAGAAAGGTCATCTTAATGTGGTACCACTCACTTGTCCAATAAAAGCACTGCAGCATTTGTCCAAATACAACACAAGCAGTTGACACCTGCAAATTAAAGTGCACGACACAGACTGCAATATATCAAACTGAAAGGATGCTAGGGAATAGGACAGTGAATGAAAACCTGAGAGACCTGTATTAAATTACAAGTTTAGCCATTATCTTCCTATGAGATATGAAAAATGGGAATATAGTATCTCCTACTTTGTTGTGAGGATAAAACTCATTAATTATGAACAGCCCACACGTTACATACAGCACTGTGGGCGAAACAAGCAAGTAGAATCTAATTGCTGTTATAGGATAAAGAGTACAAAGGTGTATTACTGACTGACGGACTAAGGGGTTAATTGATTGCTTTATCCGAGAGACTGAGAAATCCAAAGGCCAAAGAATGATTGGTCTTCATGTGCTTTGCTTTTTTTTTTTTTTTTTTTTTTTTTTTTTTTTTTTTTTTTTTAGTCCAAGTAAACAGAGTCATTACATTCAAAAAGGCCCATCGACACGGCAGATGAAAAATGAGAGAGAAGGTACATGAATGTGGTACATAAACAGAAAGAAGAAAAGCAACTATACAGCAGCATATTAACATACACTGGTAAAAATACACAGAATTAGTTAGAAGATTGCTCTTCTGATAAAGCTATAATTTTAAAAGGATGAGTGGAGACAAAAACTGGCAGGCAGGACCTGTGAGATTGATTTCTTCTAATTCTTCAACATCTAAAAGGTAAGATTTAAAAGGGTCTGTTATAGGAATCTGATCAACAGAGAGAAGCACACATCTCAAAGTGATTCAGCTGACCTTAGACACCTATCTCAGAATAAAATGAACAGCTCTCCAGAGGTATCCACAGTGAGTAGCTTAGATACCTATTTTTAATAAATAAATTTCTGCTACTAATTATTTCTACTTGTACTGAAAGAGAAATACAATACCATGTCCTGTGATTTAATGAAGGCTCACAGCATGGAAAAAAAACAAACAAACAAACAAACAAAAAAAAAACAGAAAAAAAAACACCCCACAAAAAACAAAAAACAACCCACCTTTCGTTAGAGACAGCAAAAAATGGATGGCAAAAGCAGTTTTACTAACCAGTGCTTCAGAGATGATGCTATTAAAATCTCTCTATATTAAAAAAAGATGCCGCCTAAGTCCTCTCAAGCATTTTTTTTTCAGACAGGAAAAAGGGTTTGCATACATGTTGAGACTTGGATGCAGGTTTTCCCCCCAAAAAATCAGTATCAGATCAGTGACTCTCATCCTTATTGCTTCTTCTGTAAAGTTAGATTGCTAATCACAGTGGCGGCACAAAAAAAAAAAGCTATTTTCACATTCAATGTGTTTTATCCAAAAGTAACAGATTCTTACCACCTTAACAAGATGCAAATAATCTGTAATCATACCCATAACTTTCTATTCCCAACAAAGTGCTACAGAAAACATTTTTTTCTTGGATTCCTAATCTGCATTTATCTAATCAGTCTCAACCTTAACGATGAAGGAAAAGAATTCCTACATTTCAAATATTTTAAGAAATATTTGCACAAAAATTTCAACAGTGAAAAACTCGCAGCACGTGGAAGAGACTTTTTTAGGAGATGTGTGTTAGTGGTTCCTGAAATGCTAGGCCTCTTAAAGGGATCCAAATCTGCATGTATAAATTATAGCTCTAAATTATTGTTCTTTTTTTGTAATATAAGATTTATTGTTTATTAAGAATTAATACTGATATTGCAGCTGAAGGATAATAATGTTTAGCATCATTATGAAATATTCATCATTTCCAAATAGCAAGAATTACAGAATCCATCTGTGTGGAAGAGACATTTAAGATCATCAAGTCCAACAGTTAACCTAGCACTGCCAAGTCTGCCACTAAACCATGTCTCTATGCAGCACTGCTACACATCTTTCAAATATCTCCAGTGATGGTGACACAACCACTTCTCTAGGCAGCCTGTTCAGTGCTTTACAATCCTTCTGGTGAAGACACTTTTCCTGATATCCAATATAAACCTCCCCTGACACAACTACAGGCCATTTCCTATCACTTGTTACTTAGGAGAAGAGACTGGCACCCACCTTACAACAACCTCCTTTCAAGTAGTTGTAAAAGGCAATGAGGTCTCCCCTCAGCCTCCTTTTCTCCAGGCTAAATAACCCCAGTTCCCTCAGCTGCTCCTCATAAGACTTGAGCTCTAGACCCTTCACCAGCTTTGCTGCTCTTCTTTGGATGTGAGAAAGCAGAACCAGAGCACACTTCTCCAGGATAAGCAAACCCAGCCCTTGGCAGAATCAATGAGGTCCCAGTGGCTGAGATATCTGAGACTGGTCTCTCTTTTCATGGTGTAATTATAATTCATGGGGAACTGCTTAATGGTATCTCCTTGAGTCAAAGCATTTGTTCTGACCAGCTAGCCAAAAAAGCTTAAATGACTGACAGAAAGCACATGTTCTCAAACAACAAGAGCTTGTAAATAGTGTACTTCCTTTGTATCTTTTTCCCTTCACATTGATTTTTAAATTTAGAATTAAATACATTAAAAGTAAAACAAAACAAAAACAAAACCTCATTTTTTTCCCTCATCCCTCTTTAACCCTTTGATGCGAGGATTATTATGAAGGACCGAAAAATAATTATTTCAACACATACAGACATATAAACATGCTGGCAACTCAAACAGAACCACAGTCTTAATGCTATATTTTTATATTTTACCCAGCCCATATAGTACAGACCTACAAAACATTTCAGCCCATTAAGCTGAAATTTCTAGGTCAAAATTTTTCATTGTAATTCAAAACATTTCAAAGTAATAATTTAAACTGGTGTTGGGTTTTGGTATTGAACTCTGTGTTGCTGACACCATATTGCTGTTACTTGTTTCGTGAGAGACTGGCTCTGACTCACAAGGAACTATTCTTAAATTGACAAGAAAGGTTATGAACTTCATTCCAAAAGTTCAAAAAAGGATTTTAAAAAAAATTTAAAAAACAGAAATACAAATAGGACACCTGGTGACATAAAATTTTGGGGTTTTTTGTGGCAGGAGGAGTTGTGAGGTTTTTTTCTGGAATTAAAAAAAAATCCAGAGGAAAGTCAAAGAAAATGAGAGTAAACTCCTGAACAGGATTTCCTTTCCTGCACTGCCTAGCAGAATTGGATTTATGTTGTGGAAGGAGTCGCTGAGAGATCTTTCCCACTACTGTTTAATCATCGCAGATACAGAGGGGTCTTTTACTTCACACCATAATCTACCAACACTATACGGTACACTTAGATTCAAAATTCAGTGTTTTAGCTTTGCAATTCTATTTCCAGAAGTGATTAGGACCTGCAGTCCCAGTGAATTTAATGAGAAAAGACCAATATCTTTCAAATTTAGGTTACTTGCAATAAATTTTAGTTAAAGCATGCAAATTTTAAAACTCGGGACAGTAGATTTTGTTGTATCTGAATTCCAGTACTCATAACTCTATATAAGCATATCAAATAGTTCTGCTTGACATGATCTATGTACCTTCTTTAATTGCCTTACAGCAGAAGCATCAATTACAATAGTGATACCATCAATCTCTAAAGAATACTTGATTAAAAAGTGCAAATGAAGCATGCTGGCAATTCTGATTAATACATTTACAACATTTTTTCTATGGTTCTATAAATTAAATCTATAATGAAGACAAGTAGTTGTATTATCTCAAGTGAAGGTGAGGATAACTTCTCCCCAGAAGGCATTAAGATCTTTAATAGTTAAAGCCAGATAGGGAACTTCAAACCACTTAAAGTTTTAGTAAAACCAGGAATTGAACTATCATATGTTTAGTCTAAATCTTAAGACTGGATTTTCCATTTCCCCAAAGCTTATTAGTTATATGAGCGATCACAAAGTGCATGAAAATAGTTATTCAGTAACATTTTACATCTGATTTCCCCTCATGTAAAAACTTTCTTACAAACAATACAGAAGAAGATAATATGAGTTTGGAAAATAGAGCCAGAAAATGGTTCCTTCAGAGTAAAGTAAATTATTTACATTTATCATTTTGATTCTACAGTCCTATAATTATGATTTTATCACATATCAAAAAGTGAATGATACTGCTGTCAGGATCTGTTTTCTCTCAAAACATTCCCTGCCTGATCAGTAACTCAGACTGTATTAGGCAAGACAGACTTTGAGAATTAGAACATAAAATATTATCTGGCTCTTGAGAAAACTTTTGAAGACAGTTTAAGTTTCTTGGTTTCTTGCTCCTGCAAAATATTTAAATGCTAGTTTTAGAGATCAATTAATATTTTCAATCCCTTAATTTTCTGAGATTACAGTCAATGAAACAAAAAGAAACATTACTTACATCATTCTGATCATCTTTTGCATTGTAATAGATTATATCATTATTCTGTAAGAGAAAGAAAAGTAATTATGTTAATTTGAAAGTAGAGAATAAAATTTAATAATAATTTGTACTAAAATACATTTTAAAATAAACCCACATTTCTTTATGTACTCTCTTTGAAATATGACAGAATCAGACTTTTGCTTGCTCTCTGTTGCATGTAATATTTCCCATGCTCATCTTTAACTTCATTAAATGCTTCTTCCCTGGTAAGCTACATAAGTCACTCAAAAAGCCAGGTAGAAAAGTACAGACGTTGGACAAAATCCAGAGCTCATAAAAGACTTGTGTAAGCTGTTTCTTTTACAGATATATGACTTGCTATGCAATTAGGTGATTTATGCACCATGACACCTAGCAGGCAACAGAAAGAACGATGCACGGGCATTGCTAAGTGGGTTAAGTAGTTGTTGCATCATGTTTATTGTTTTATTCACCTCCCACGGTGGAAATAAAATCTGTGAAAATACATCACAGGAGAGTCTGACTGTTATACCATAGAGGGGAACCTGGCAGCTCTTTGGAAACGTTGTACCATATAATTCAGGCAAAGCATCTACAGCAGTTTGAAAATTGGAGTATTTCCTATGAAATATAGTTTTGGTTTTGCTTGAGATATTTCTGAACCATTTAAAAGCCTCAAAGATTTAGGTTTTCCACTAAACAGAACTGCTGTACTCTGCCCTATACTCTTCTGAATGAAAGCAAGCAATTGTTATGTGAATTTCTGTATGAAATAGACACAGATATGTACATAGTATTTATAAAGTCCCATTATAGATTTTGAATAAGTAATGAAAAGGAGATGTTGTATTTCTTCATGTCCAGCAGCTTGTTTAAAATAGACTACTGCTAACCTCCAAAAACAGCCTTAATTTATTTTTTCAGTTATGTTTATGGTAATACCTTTGGATATATGAATCTAAATAAAATGTTGACCACAAACATTTTTTTTTTCTTTTATAAATACCAACAGGAGAGAATTATTTTGGTAATCATTTTTCAAGTGGGTAAGCCAATGACAATTATTACTTGCACTAAAAAAGCACCATGATATGTGCTACAAGGTAATGCAGTTCATCTTTATAAACCATCATTTTCCTCACTTCATAAATAATGACATCATTCATTCTCCTTCGTGACCTTTTTGAGATCCAAACAAAATATATTATAGATGAGCTAAACACTATTTTGAGGCAAATGCTATTAAGATGAACTCATCCTCTTTCCTTTTCCCTCAAAATGCACTTTTTTACTTTTCATCAAGACACTGTTCTATCGCAAGTCAGTTGGTTTTTTTATCGGTATCTGGGTAACGAAGCTGGAACTCGGTGTGTTACAGACACAGGAGAAAATTCCTTTCATCATTAAGGACCAAAGCTAATTGCTTATTCATTTGATTGCTGTAAAGACTATGTAATGCTTGTGGAAGCCTTCAAGTAAGTTGGAAGAGGTGAAAGATTCAATTTTCTACAGATCCTCTTTACTCTGTACATGTTTATATACAAAATAAATGTTCTGTAAATAATGTGATCTGTTCAGAAAGCCATGTGATTCTTTCGCAAGGCAATATTTAAAACTGCAAAGGATCCAACTCTGTGGGACTAGTTGGAAGCGTTAGCAGAAGTGTTTTCATCACAAGATGATCTGTTTCATTTCTTTTATAAAAAAAAGTTGGTTCACTTCAGAAGACAGGGGAAAATAATACTTCCTTCAACACACCTCCTTATCATATGTTAAAGCAGTTCCCCTGAAATCTCTTCCCTGGAAGCTTTTGTTTGGGAAAAATAAGACCAGGAAAAGCCACACAGTCATGCTTACCTGGATATTATGTACATATTCTTTTTCTTTAGTGCTTTCATTTTAGAAAGGAACATTTTCATAAAACACAATTCTATTAGGCCTTCTCTTCTACTGAGTCTCACCAAGCTATCAGTTTATTCCCCCACCTCCTTCCCATTGCTCAAGCTTACCTGATAGTATTCCTTGTCATAGAATCATTTAATACATAGGATTTTTAACACTGTGTTCTATAAATAAAATTCTGTTTATCTACTCAAAGAAAACGATTCTTTATTGTCACAAAAATATATTCCTGTCATTTATATATTTTTTTTTAAATTGATCGAAGCTGGCATAGTGTCGTTATCTACTTCTACTGGACTAAAGAGTATTTTTTAAATCACCTATTAAAGAATGATGTTTCAGAAACATGATACATTTACAAGTTAATTAAAAGAACCTCACCACCCTAAATGAATTAGATATTTTGTTAGGCTATTCATATCTTGTAGTTCACCACCCTGCCTGGAGATATTACCTATCTAATGCATAAACTAACGCTGACGTTGGTCATATCTCACTACTCTTAATATAGAAAATATGAGCTACACAATTCTACGACACACTGGATGCTGCACAGTTCACAAATTAGATTCATGGATCAGATAGATCTTTAGAGGACAATTTTTCATAATTTAACCACTTCTAGCTGACAAGAACAAATTGCTTTTTTGCTGGTTCTCAAGCCAGTAGTTTAGTTATTTATTAACTTCTTGACACAAAGAATTTGAATCTTCCCACTGTTACACACTTTTGCAACCAGGTAATACTGCACACATTCAGCAAGCCTAATATACAATGTAAATATCCTAGATATTTATTTATGTTCTTTATTCAGTAATGCTATGAGATAGAGGGGTAAATACTCACTGTTTTTTCTGATTGTGAATGAAGGGATTTAGTAAGACAGTCCTGAAGATCAGTTTATGGAAGAATGACTTTAGGAGACCATATGCATAAATTAGAAACTTTAGAATACTGTCAGTATACAAGTTCACAAAATTTATTAAGTTGGAACAGTGAAAGGTAGTTTTCACCAGCATTAATTCCCCCTTCAAAGCCAACAGTGTCTGTATCTGACAAATTTATGCAAGGCATATAAAAATTACATTAAGAACCAGGTCATAAATTTACTTATGACTCTTACTTTTTTCTTCTATTCTATCTGAATAATCTTTTTTCTTCCACATTTTCATTGATATTATTATCTGCTAAAGTTATATTGTTCCACTGTCTTTATATTGCATCTTATTTCAATTGTAATTTCCTTCCCAACTTTGGGTATAAAACTATTTCAATGGGAAACACTACATATTGTGTAGTATTAATGGCTTCCTAAATTTTGCCACACAAAATCCAAAGTTTCTTGTCTCTGTAATCACTATATGAGAAATGAAGAAACACAGAGACTCATATCATGTCTCTGTAATCTCTATATCTGGAGATTTGAAGAAACACAGAGACTCGTCAAATAGAAGAATGGGAAAATACAATATTTCAGAACATCTGCAGATGAAATTAGAATTCACACCAACACTAACTTACACTGGCATTTGGATTCTCTACAAAGCAGGTTTACAGACACAGTCTATTGATTCAGCTAGTTAAAAGCCTATTCTCAGCTCAGGATTATGTGAAAGGAGCTGAAGTTGGCTTGTCATGACAGGAAATAATACCTCTTTTTCAATCAAATTCTTTCAAGAACAACACAAAGGGATTACACTGCAACAAGACATATCTGACTCTACAGATAATTACATAGAGTAATTAATGATAATGTATCTATGTCAATTTGTTGGTAAAAGCTATAAATCCTTCTTTACCAAGTGCCAAAGATGAAAGTTCCTTGTTACTACTGCTACATAATGACTTCTCAGGAAAACTTGCTCAGTAAACCCTATGCTAGAATTAGAAGAATTGTCAGTGAAATATGGAGCCTCTGTGAACCTCAATAAATTCAACAAGCTCAAGTGCAAGGTGCCTCAATCCGAGGCAGGCCCATGCACAGGCAGGCTGATGAGTGCATTAAGAGCAGCCCTGCAGAGAAGGACTTGGGTGTGTGGGTTGACAAGAAGCTCAACATGACCTGGCAATGCGCATTTGCATCCCATAAAGCCAACTGCATCCTGGGATGCATCAAGAGAAGTGTGGCCAGCAGCTCAAGGGAGGAAATTTTTTTGCTGTGGGGGTGGTGAGGCACTGGCACATGTTGCCCAGAGAAGCTGTGGCTGCCCCCTCCCTGGCAGTGCCGAAGGCCAGGTTGCAGAGGGCTTTGAGCAACCTGGGCTAGTGGAAGGTGCCCATGGCAGATGGGCTGGAACTAGATGATCTTTAAGGTCCCTTCCATCCCAAAACATTCTATAATTCTATGTTTCTACCCCATCAACTGGTCAAACCTTTTTTTTTGGTAGAAACACTGTATGTGTGATTTTTGAAGTATCTGCTTTTCCACAAGAGATATTTGCATTTCATTCACAAAAGAAAAAAATAAATACTGGAAGTCTTCAGATTTTCAACAAACAGCCAATACTATCTATTCAGAAATGTTGCTTTCACTGAAGCTGTGATTAAGATTACTTATGCCTTCAGGTCTGTACGTGAGGCTTCCTAGAGACTGTACATAACATAGATACCTGTGATGTAGTCCAAAATGGTGTTAGGCATGTAGAGGAGATTGAAGGCCTGAAATGAATTCTAGATAGTGAACTACATGAAAATAAATAGGTTTAAAAAAATATGGGGGGGGGGAAGAAATTTTTCTGCTGCTTCTCATGTAGTAAGACATTAATGTGATGAGATAATTTAGCCAGACATCACAATTACCCTTTTTCCTAAAACTACCAGTTCAAAAATAATTGTAAGTAAAATGTGAAAGCAAAAATAACATTCTTCTGCATGACTTAAATATCTGTTACAGAGATGCTATAAGATAATGAAATCTCTCAGAAAAGAAAAAAAAAAAAGAGTTTTTGTTAAAGGTCTCCATACTTCAAACATTTTCTTCAATGAACCATTGGAGGCATACCTAAAAGTAGTATAGCAGATATTACAACTATATATTACTACATAATTATTAATCATGTTTTAAAATCTAAAATTAAGGCCAAATATGATACTTCCCACGACTTCTAAGTATTTTATACAAAATGTGTTAAAGCAAC